GTTCTAACGACACGCTAATTAAGTCCTCATCGGTATGAACATTAGCCAGAGCTGCATCGTCAAACAGCCACTTCTCCAGAAAAGTAAGAGGGACTTCTTGATTTGCCGTTGAGGTTGAGGAAGTATTGTTGAAATTCAAAAAGCAGCTGGAATCATCCAAAGTGGGCCCATCTGGTGAGTTGTTGCCATTTGTTGCACTCTGTGATCCCTCGCTCACGCAAGCTTGTGTTGTAATTTCTGATGACTTTTCTGGTGACTTCTTCATCCAATTCTCAAGCAATCTGGCAATGTTCTCAGCGCTTGATGCATATGCAGAGGTAGTAGTTGTTGTTGTTGTTGGCGGCGGCGGTGATTGGAGGATCAGATTGTTAGTTTGGGGTTTTGAATCCTCTATGATTCCAAATGGGTTTTGTTTGTCGAGGGATAGAGCTTCACAAAGAGCTCTTTTGGCTGTGTGAATATCCGTTTGGAGCCTTCTTTCCCACTGCCCTCTAGAGAGTGTAGTAGTCTGTGAGGGTGTGAACCGATCTTGGGCACCACCATCAGGCCCTGATTGCACCCTTTTCAGCTTCTTTTTCAAGTGGGTGTTCCAATAGTTCTTTATATCGTTATCCGTTCTTTGTGGAAGGTAGGAAGCTATGGCTGCCCATCTGCACAATTTTCACATCATAACCACATACATATATAATATATGTATATCATATACAAATTAATTTTGAATTTTGGATTACCTGTTGCCCAAAAGAGCTTGGAGGTGAATTATCATCTTCTCTTCATGATCGGTGAAGTTGCCACGCTTGATGCCTGGGCGGAGGTAATTAGTCCATCTCAGCCTGCAGCTCTTACTGCATCTTAGAAGGCCTGAAAGGACAAAAATTGATTATATTGAAAACAGAGTTAGTTGAAGAAATGGTAGGGAAAGGAAGAGCACAGAAATGAAACAGAAAGAGCAGAGTAGGTAAGAAATTAAGTGCAGGAATTTAATGCAGAAACCAAGGCAGCAAAGAAGAAAAAGAAGAAAGAAAAAGGTAAAGAAATTTACCAGTGTTGGTTGGAACGGATCTCCAGTTACCAGGTCCATGTTGTTGAATGTAAGAAACCAAGATGATATCTTCCTCGGGAGTCCATGGCCCTTTCTTCACGCCCACTTTGTCGCAACAGGGTGGCCTTCCCATCATTTCCCACTTTGTTTCTCAGAACCCTCTTCCTTTCTTGATGTTCTATGTTCTGGAAACACCCATATATTTCCACGCAAATTCAGGGGTGTCTATATGTACAGAATTTGTATATATATATATCTACACAGAGAGAGAGAGAGAGAGAGAGAGAGTTGGGTCAGGGAATGCGATGATTAGATGGGGTGCATCACTCAAAAGGGTCAAAACGTACAGCAATCAGCATTTAGTGTTTCATACCAAAAAGTCAGCTCTCTTTTTTGTTTATCTTCACCTTACGCTCACAAAGCCCCGAACTGCATTCAATGTGGGTATTGTTGTGGCACACAACCAACCAAAACCAAACCCTAATTCAACTCACAATTGACTGCCCTTATTTACTCACTTTTCTTCGGACTTTACAATGTTTGGAAGTGGGTTCAAACGGAAATTTAAACCTCGTTTTAACGCATGGTGCCGCGCTTTGTTTCTTCTAAATCATCAACTTTGTTATTGACCATTAAATGAAGAAAGGAAATAAAACTAAAATGAGAATGATGATGCAAGGGAAGAGAAGTACAACATCTTTTGATTTTTATGACACGTGGGGACGTCCGAGTAATGGTGATTTGGACTTCCTTACTTGCGTGGTGGAACCTCAACCGTCCATCAAATTTGATCATCCAGAAGATGTGTGAAGGAAGGCAAGACGCGGGGATGCCTTGGACCACTCCTCTCACTTCTCATATAATAATAAACAAAACCCAAAATCAACGGAAATTCATATGTATATCTTTCCAAATTACATTCCAATTTCATTATCATTTGAAAGTATCCCAAACCACAATCTTGGGTTAAAGATTAATTTGTTACCCCCTTGTTTAATAGAGATAATTACAGTAAAAAAACAAAACGACCATTCAAAGGTATTTTCCAAATTTAGGGCGAGAATTAATTGGAATTTGGAGAGAGATTTTGTGGGGTTAGGGGAGGATTTTATTATTGAAAATAAGAGAGAGTAATTAAGTAGCTGTTATAATTTGACATGAGCATTACATAATTAAGGAATTTTGCAATGGTTCTAAATATGAAAATATGGGAGTTGCATGAACATTTCCGGATTTAGAAACTTTCCCTTAATTTCTCCCTCTCTTCATCTAAATTTATGGTGGGGAGTAAAATATTAACAATTTTTCAAAATAAAACACGTTGCCATCTTAAAGACCCCAACACACAGTTTCTTTACTACTTAATTATTATTTATTATATTTATTGGGCGGAGAAATGTCGATGTGGACATGTCCACAAATAAAGCCACGTCTCACCCGTCACAATGCAATCTATACATCTCACTTCAATCTTCACTTGCTTTCCTTCTCATTCTACATTAAACTCTCTATTTATTATTTATGTCATTTCTAAAACCCAAAAACACTCGCATGCGTAAAAACTTTTTATTATACATCTTAACTGGGCTACTAATTATTTTCTTATTTATAAAATAATATTAAAACACGAGCTAAATTAAAGCCTTTTGAACTAGAGTCCAAAGGTGGTGAATTAAAAAATAGTGTTCTCATTTATGGCATCCCAATTATATGGGCAGTTATAAATAAGTGCATATTGAATGCAATATTCAATCAAGGTGATAGAATAATATATATATATCACATTAGGTCGTGAGTCTCGGCTGAATTGATTAGACGTAAATTAACAAGTATACGTTAACAAAATTAGTTTTAAATTTTTGATGGAGGGAAGAGTGTATAATAGTGAAATAAATAATTAAAATGCAATCATATTAAGGTTATAAAATCATATTAAGTACATAAGACTAGGATGTGTAATAAAATGAATGTGGTTGCATTTAAGTCAACAGAAAATGTGAATGTAACTACTCGGATGCGCCCATTTGATCCTCCATTTTGATTATGCTCACATCCTTCTTTGACTATTTGCACCACCACCTTTTTCCCTCCAAACCTCTCCATTTCAACTCACCTTCATCCTATCATAATCTATAACTTTAATTTAAATATTTATTATTAAAAGTTTTTTTGTTTTATTATGAATCATATATGTGTATGTATATATATATATATATTAATTATTAAATTATTATGTGTACTAACGTATTAATATCAACTTTGTTTTGGGTTTAAAACGTATAGATTAGATATGAATATTGAATATTTAGATATTAAAATTTTACAAAAAATAAAAATAAATTTGAATCACATGTTAAAGAACCAACCGTTATCCCTGGTGCCACGTGTGCGCGTAGTAATGAGCTGTAATTTCTTATCGTATATTACATATACTGAACAGTAACTAGTGATGGGTCTTTTCAAGGGAAGCCGTCAAGGAGATGCCACGTGTAATTAAAAAATTATCTAGATGATCAAGTACTTAAATACAAAGGTTTTGCACACTCTGTTCGAGGAAGCCACTTAAATGGAACCACGTGTATTAAACAAATTAATTATGGATAAATCATAAATGTCACGCAAAGCTAGGAAATGCCACGCAGTCTTGACTTAGTAGAAGGGACACGTGTATGGCTAGAAGCGCTCTAGCTTGGAGTTTCGAATTTAAAGACGATTGAACTGGGAAGGACGTACGAGACTGTCTCCAATTATTCAGCAGAGATTTCTAGATTTAATTGAGGATCAAAATCCTCTACTTTTAAAAATAATTATTTTTTTTTTCAAAAGTAAATTATTCAAATGGTACTTACTTATATGATTTAAACATCGCTTTAACTGACGGCACCAACGAGATTAAGACAAGAATAAAATTTTTGATAAAATAATGAAAAAAAAAAAAAAAAAAAAGAGTACAGCTTTTCCCTATATTGTTAGGAATAAAAATGGGCATTTTAAAACTTTTTAAAGAGGAAAGAGGAAAGAGGACAAAATGTGTGAGGAGGGAATATTGGGCCAATTAGGTAAAGTTGGAGCCCATAAAACAAAATAGACAAGGTGGGCCCATATGGAACCCATAAAACAAAATAGACAAGGTGGGCCCATATGGAACCCATAAAACAAAATAGACAAGGTGGGCCCATATGGAACCCATAAGTAAGGCAGCATTAGGTGTCAAAATCCGGATGTAAGTGGAAAACTTTGAAATGTGAATGGGTTGAAAGGGACAACACCAAAGATTGTTCAAACATAACGAACCAAAAACAAAAATTATTTGCATTAATAATAATAATAATAAAAAATAATAAATAAATAAAACTATTTTATTTATGACATGTAGACATAGTTACGCTGAAACTTCTCACACTTACAAAGTACAAGAAAAAGATTATACATCACAAAAGCAGTAAAAAAAAAAAAAAAAAAAAAAAAGCGATCAAGTAATACAAGACATGAGTTTTGGCATCAAACGAAAAAGCGGACATGGACAACACACCTTAAACAAGGATGACCGTGACAAAGTCTACTCATAACCAAAGCTTTAATCCAACAGCCCATCTGCCACACTCAGCACTTCATAAGAGGAACAATAAGGAAAATATTAGGGCCTTCTCAATTCTCTCTACAATGGATGGTTTGATGTTTGGAAAGAGGTGTGAATTGTGGATCACGAACTTATGCCTTCATTTGCATTCAACCAGCATAAGATGAAACCCTAGCACACCAACTCCTCCTGATGCAAGTAGTACCTCTTTTTGCTTTGATACTAGAAAATGTTAGTTTTGAACTGAAAATATTGTTGAAATGCAAAATCTAAAAGAAGAACTATTTTGAGAGGATGTATATGAGATACAAGAGGCCAGGCACAAGCAGATTATAGAAGGTGGGAAGTTACCACAGGAACTGACAAGGTGAGAGAGGCTAGAACATAAACAAAATATGGAAGCGGAAAAATTGTTGAAAAGTAGAAACGAGCAGCAATACCAACAAAACCTATCGCTAAGTAGAACCACATGGTTGCATGCATACAAGACTAATATCTTAACCTATTGCCTTTCAATTTCAATGATCAACATCCGTAAACCTACAACACAATATGACAATCTCTAATGACCACCGACTCTCCCAAAGTTAGAGGTCAGAATTTATACTTAGTACCTCCCCTTCTGCACTATAGAATTGAATTCCCCTTTTCTAGGATTGTAACCTTCCAAAAAAGAATATATTACTCAACAATATTCTTTGGGCTTGCTAACTTTTGCAAGGACCAGTGATCTGTTGCAATTCCATTGATGAAGCAGGTTATCCGTTTTCTGGTTTGATTCTGATATCAGCTTATTTGCAGGCTTTCCCTTCTAGCATAGGATGCTAATTTCAACTCTAGTTTACTTAACTAATTACCAGTAGTCTCTGCACGAACATGAACCATGTGTGAAAGAGTGGAACCGACTTCTATCTCTCACCACAATTTCTACTTCATACACCCTAGAAATCAGCTTCATCACAGTGTGACAGTCCCTGCAAATTCTTAAATTCTTCACCACTCTTATGCCTCTTCCTCTTGGCAGCCTTACCATCCCAAAAGCAACTGCTAGCTTCTCACTGTGCTGTGAAACAGAGTCTTCCTTTTCTTCCACTTCTATATCATGCAATACACTTCCAACTTCTGGAACATAACCTCCTTCTATCCTCAGCCTCGACATTATCTCCCTTAGTTTTTGATGTGCCTCTTCTGCTATGTCATTTTGCTTTTCTCCTGCAACAAAACTATACATGATTCTATCGACTTCAATCATGCTCCAACCAGGAGTTTTCTTAAGTTTCTGGTGAGTCATTGATCTTCTTAAAGTGGCAACATCCTTCCATTTCCCCGCAACTGCATAAATGTTTGACAAAAGAACATGATCTCCAGAGTTTTCGGGGTCGAGTTCAAAGAGTCGCCTCTTTACTTGCCCTGCCAGTTCTAAGTTACCATGAATGCTACAAGCTCCAAGAAGTGTCCTCCAGACAATATCATTCGGTGAAACTGGCATTTGAGACACAAAGTCAAAAGCTTGCTGCAGCTTACCAGCTCGACCATAAAGATCAACTATGCAACCATAATGTTCAATTACGGGTTCAATACCGTAAATATTTACCATCCTTGAAAAATAAGAACATCCCAAATCAACCAATCCAGCATGGCTACAAGCATACAAGATGGATATAAAGGTGATACCGTCGGGCTTAATATTAGACTCTTCCATCTCATTAAATAATCTGATTGCTTCCTCCCCGTAGCCATGCATTGCGAGCCCCGTAATCATGGCTGTCCAAGAGACAACACTCCTTTCCAGCATATTATCAAAGATCAAACGAGCCATATCCAAATTCCCACATTTAGAGTAAGTATCGATCAGTGCATTACTCACTGAAACAATATGCAGAAAGCCAGATTTTTCAACAAACCCATGTAGGATTCTTCCAAACTCGAATGCCCCAGCTTGTGCACATGCAGAAAGCGCACCTGTGAGGCTTACCTCATTTGGTCTCATCCCTTCCTGCCGCAACTCCCTGAAAAATGCGAAAGCGTTGTTAAAGCTGCCATTATGAGCGAACCCAACAATCATACTACTCCACGAAACCTCATCTTTCAAAGGCATTTTCATAAACACCTCCCTGGCTAGCCGAAGCTCACCTGCTTTTGTGTACCCTGCAAGCATGATGTTCCACGAGGTTAAATTTTTTATGGACATCCGATGGAACACTTGCTCTGCATCCTTAACGTCCTCGCACCTAAAACACGCAGCAACAATGGCATTCCAAGCAACAATATTTGGTTCAATCATTTCATCAAACACCTGCCGTGCAAAGGCCAAACTTGCACATTCAGCATACATGCTGATCAGTGTCGTCCCAACAAAAAGATGGGTATCCAGACCAAAACCAATAGCTTGGCGATGCAATTGCAACCCATTTCTGAGAGCCCTGCAATTAGCGGCAGCTTTGAGCAGAAAAGCAAAAGAGAAACTATCGGGTAAAGCCATGGATTTGCGACGCATTTCAACAAACAGTAGAAGGGCATGAGAGGGGGTGTCAGAATCGGAAAGTCCACGGATGAGTGTGTTGTACATGAACACATCTGGATTTCGAATGTCAAGGAAGAGGCGTCCAGCATAGCGAACAGAATCAGGAAGTGTAACTGCACAATGAAGAAGAAGCTTGCCGGCGACTAATGGGTCGGAATTTAAGCCTGTTTTGAACGTAAAAGCGTGGATTTGCTTCAAGGTTCTAAGAGATCTGCATTTGCTGAATAACGCAAGGCAGTGAAGTTCTCTGCTATTCATTCTAACCCGGAATTTAGCAACATGTCATTTGTTCATTTTATTTTATTTAAAATTCCATAGTCCTCTAACTATTTTATTTTATTTTATTTTATTTATTTATTTTAAAAATCTTAAAATAAATTCTCCTCCACTCATTTCTCTCCATCCTCTCCTCGTGTCGTCCATCAAGTCTCTGTCTCACACAGCGTTTCATCAGTCGCCGTCTTCTGCTCGCCGGAAGCCGACTCTGTTCCCGGAGAAGCCCCGTGGCATTATCTGAACCCAGCTAGTGGGCAAATTTTACTCATTTCTAAAGCAACTTTCCATTTTTATAATCAAGAAGTCTCATGGCGCTCAGGATCTTTCCATTGTGGCAAATTTAAAATTGGATACTAATAAATTTCACGAATATCAACGAGTTTATAGAAGGTTCAGTACATAAATTAGACAACTTTTGAATATTTTTGCAAACTCATTCATATAAGTCGATCATCCATGGATCAATAATCTTATGGAGACTAAATTTAGGTTTATTTATGCAGTATTCATGCTGAGGCAGAGATGGAGTTGCAGAAGTTAAGCAGCGGTGGAGCGTAGAGCCTTTTGCCTGATGAACTGAAGAAGCGCCAAAACCTTTTCCTTGGGAGCCCCTGCCTCCTTTGCAACTGGGTGCTCCTTCAACCTGTTCAACCACGAGTACATAATTGGGATCTTCTCTTCTTCAACAAGTTTCATTCCAGAAAACTCTTCGTGAATCTCGTACATTCCAAGTACTGTCAGCGTCACTATGTCCAAGAATCCAAGTTCGTCGCCGTTCACAAATGGACTGCCCTCTGCCTCCGACAGCAAACTCTTCAACCCCTGTTCTTCAAGAACTTTCAACTTCTCTTTCACTTCCTTAATGGCTTTCTCCTGTGCTTCCCCTTCAGTCGTCAACGATAAGAAGAGACCCTCAAACACCTGTTTCTGAACGAAATCAGCCCAGAATCGAATCTGGGATCGTCTGTAGGGATCTTGAGGTAGAAGGGGAGGCCCATTATTCTTCCAAACTTCATCTATGTACTCCATAATTACAAAGGATTCGCAAATGGGTCTTCCATTGTGGACGAGTACAGGAACTTTCTTGTAAACAGGATTGAGCTTAACAAGCTCTGGGCTTTTGTTCTGGATATCTTCCTCCACATACTCAAAAGGGATGCCTTTGATTTTGAGGGCGAGTTCGACCCTCTTCGCAAAAGGGCTCGCCCACATCCCATGAAGCACCACTCTGTTTTGCTCTGCCATATCTTAATCTTTCCTCTACCTGAGCTTTAATAAAAAAATGTTTTAAGGTTGTGTGATCAGTCGAGTCCCTCCCATGGAAGCTATAAATAAGGAGTTATGTTCCTGTGTTGGCGGCGCTAAGAAGACTCTGGAATTTTACTGGGTCTCCTCTTTTCGTATTCCTCAAGGATGCTCCCAGGTCAACGACAGCACTACGTCGGAATCTTCGAAGATGATGTATGCAGTGACGTTCACAAGTACAAATCTAAAATTTTAATAGTAAGGCAACTATTTGCAGAGGGAAGTAGTAGATAATTTTGCCCCTCATGGGCTCCATTAGAGTAAGTTGGCACACTACAAGTACAAATCCTTATTGAACAGAGTGAAACAAAACGAGAACGACACAGCAGAGACAACACTTAATTTAATTAAGAAGACGAGCAGTGAGAGGAAATGGATGAATCAAGCAGCAGCAGAGGAGCTTAAGGCGCTGTGCCTAACGTACTGAAGAAGCCCCACAACCTTGTCCTTTGAAGGTAAGATGTCCTTGGTAAGAGGATGGTGTATGAGGGAGTTGAGCCATGAGGCCACGCCGGGGGTCTCCTCTTCATCTATAATTTTGACCCCCAAGACCTCTTCGTGGATCTTGTAAGCTCCAAGAACAGACCACATTACTATGTCCACAAACCCCACTTCCTGTCCGTTCGCAAATGGTCCACTTCCATCTCCCAACAGCCTCTTAACCCCATGCTCTTCAACCACTTTGAGCTTCTCTCTCAAGTCTTTAATCGCCTTCTCTAGTGCTTCCCCTGCCGCCATCACTACCTTAACCGATGCCTCGAACAACTGCACCAACCAAACCAAACCCTGTTAGAGGAAGAAAGTGCATGAATAATGAGAATGAAATGAGTACCTGTTTGTTAATGAAATCAGCCCAGAACCGAAGCTGGGCTCGTTCGTAGGGATCTTGCGGCAGAAGGGCAGGGCCATGATTCTTCCACGTTTCTTCTATGTACTCAAGAATCACAAGTGATTCGGAAATGGGGTTGCCATTGTGGACAAGCACGGGGACTTTCTTGTAAACAGGGTTGTATTTCAGGAGGGTTGATGGGTTCTTGTTCTGCAGATCTTCTTCCACATATTCGAAAGGGATGCCTTTGATTTTAAGGGCAAGTTCCACCCTTTTCCCGAAAGGACTAGCCCACATTCCATGAAGCACCAATGAGCTTTCCTCTCCCATATCTCGTCTTCTTCTTTGCCTCTCTCTCCCTCTCTCTCTCTGATCAGCTCAATGAATGAAACTGGTTCTGCTTCTTCACTCCTATGGAGGCTATATATATATATAACTAACGTATATGTTCTAATTTCAAGAATAATTCAGCCCTCACTAATCACGTGTATGGCATGAATCACGTGTCTACCCCTCACTAATAATTATGAAACATTTTTTAAATTGTAATGTCTATTAAATATATAAAACTTTTGTAAAAAAATGATATAAAACTGTCAAGAATGGGATTCGAACCCATGCCCTTTCGGACCAGTACCTGAAACTGGCGCCTTAGACCAACTCGGCCATCTTGACTTATTTGTTCGGTTTGAATATTTTTTTAATAAAATTAATAAAGAATTACCTAATTCATTCATAAACCGTTTTTCTTCCGTTGTTTTCCCGCTCTATGCAAAGTCGTTACACTCCTTCCCTATCTCCAAATGAGCACAAATGAATTTTACTGGGATTCCAACCTTCGTAAATAAAACACTATTATCCCACCGTAGATTGATTTCCTCCGTCGCTACTGTAGACAATGCGTCCAGTTTTTCCTTCACCAAAATTGAAACTTACCCTCTTTTCGACCCTTCGCAGTTGCTCAGTGATTATGTAAAATCCAGAAAATGCTCTTTGAGGAACACCAAAGTTCTACACGCCAAGTTACTCCGAGCAACTCTTCTTCATTCCAATATCTATGTTTCAAATTCTTTGCTGGATTGCTACTCAAAGTCTAACTCTCTGGACCATGCACTCAAGCTGTTTGATACAATGCTCCACCCAAATGTCATTTCTTGGAATATCCTTATCTCCAGTTTCAACCACAACTTCTTGTATTTGGATTCGTGGAGAACATTTTGCAGGATGCATTTCCTAGGTTTTGAACCCAGCGAGATAACGTATGGGAGTGTTTTATCTGCTTGTGCTGCCATTCAAGCCCCAATGTTTGGTAAGCAGGTCTATTCACTTGCTGTGAGAAATGGGTTTTTTGTTAATGGTTATGTTCGAGCAGGGATGATCGATTTGTTTGCAAAAGATTCTAGTTTTCTGGATGCTCTAAGGGTGTTTCATGATATTCATTGTGAGAACGTGGTGTGCTGGAATGCTATTGTGTCCGCAGCTGTAAGGAATGGGGAGAATTTTATGGCTTTGGATCTTTACAACACAATGTGTCGTGGGTTGTTGGAGCCTAATAGTTTCACGTTTTCTAGTGTTCTAACTGCGTGTGCAGCACTTGAACATCCTGAATTTGGGAAAAGAGTTCAAGGGAAAGTGATTAAATGTGGCGGAGAAGATGTTTTTGTAGAGACAGCCCTCATTGATTTGTATAGCAAGTGTGGAGAAATGGATGAAGCTGTTAAAATATTCTTGCGGATGCCCATTCGCAATGTGGTCTCATGGACTGCCATAATATCTGGTTTTGTGCAGAAGAATGATTACTTAATGGCCCTCAAGTTTTTCAAAGATATGAGAAAATTGGGGGAGGAAATCAATAGCTATACAGTCACTAGCGTGTTAACTGCATGTGCTAATCCAGCCATGACAAAAGAAGCAATCCAACTCCACTCCTGGATTTTAAGAGCTGGTTATTCTTCTCATGCGGTGGTGGGAGCTGCTTTAATTAACATGTATTCGAAAATAGGAGCTATTGATCTTTCTATGACTGTTTTCGGAGAGATGGACAATCAAAGGAATCTCAGTTCTTGGACAGCTATGATTACCTCATTTGCACAGAACAATGATAAAGAGAAAGCAAGTGAATTGTTCCAAAAAATGTTACGGGAAAGTATGGGACCAGATACATTTTGTACCTCTAGTGTCTTGAGTGTGACCGACTGTATTACCTTTGGGAGACAGATTCACTGCTTCACGCATAAAACTGGATTAATATTTGACATTTCTGTCGGCAGTGCTCTTTTCACAATGTATTCCAAATGTGGCTATCTAGAGGAAGCTTTTCATGTTTTTAAAAACATGGCAAAGAAGGACAATATTTCATGGGCATCGATGATGTCCTGTTTCTCAGAACATGGTTATGCAAAAGAGGGCATCCAATTATTTAGAGAAATGTTGTTTGAAGAATATGTTCCTGATTATATGATTTTAAGTACAGTCCTAAATGCATGTTCTGTTCTTCATTCTATTCAAATAGGCAGAGAGATTCATTGTTATTCTGTTCGTTTGGGTCTTGACAAAGATGTAGCTATTGGGGGTTCGCTTGTGACTATGTACTCAAAATGCGGCAACCTGGAGATGGCTCGGAGGGTGTTTGAAACACTGCCCGAGAAAGATAATATTGCATGCTCTTCGTTGGTTTCAGGATATGCTCAACACAAGTGCATCAAAGAGACAATTTTGCTATTCCAAGATCTACTGGAGGCTGGCTTAGCCATCGATCCCTTTTCAATCTCATCCATACTGGGAGCAATTGCGCTTTTAAATAGGCCTGGTATTGGGACTCAACTCCATGCAATCATTACGAAAGTAGGCTTGGAGAAAGATGTTTCTGTTGGGAGTTCGCTAGTAATGGTATACTCCAAATGTGGAAGCATAGAAGACTGCTGCAAAGCATTTGAGCAGATTGGAAAGCCTGATTTGATAGGTTGGACAGCCATGATTGTGAGTTATGCCCAGCATGGGAAAGGTGCTGAAGCCTTATGTGTCTATGAACTTATGAAGAAAGAAGGAATCAAGCCTGATCCAGTCACCTTTGTTGGGGTTTTGTCTGCTTGTAGCCATAATGGTTTGGTGGATGAAGCTTATTTCCACCTTAATTCGATGGTGAAAGACTATGGTATACAACCGGGACATCGACATTATGCTTGTATGGTTGATCTTCTTGGTCGGTGTGGGCAACTGAAAAGGGCAGAAGAACTGATTAACAATATGCCTATTGAACCTGATGCTCTCATTTGGGGAACTCTTCTCGCTGCCTGTAAAGTACATGGAGATATTGAACTTGGAAAACTAGCGGCAAGAAAGGTGATGGAGTTGAAGCCAAGTGACACTGGGGCTTATGTCTCTCTTTCCAACATCTGTGCTGATATGGGCCTGTGGGAAGAGGTCCTCAACGTTAGAAGCCTTATGAAGGGAGCTGGAGTGACGAAGGAACCTGGTTGGAGCTTGCTGTAAGAAGCTATTGTTCATAGTTTGTAAGTCCTTATAGCTAAGGATTTTCCCTTTTTCTCTCTCTCTTTTTTTTTTTTTTTTGTTTTTGTTTGCACGTCTTGATTTTATTTAGAACGTCCTTGGCATGAATACCAATGAACTGCAGTATGAATACTCGAAGAGTTAGCAAAACAGCAAAAGATGTTTAGCTGACCTTATTGATTCTGATTTCATCCCATGATCTAATCCGTAAGTTTTGATAATTATGACAGATCTCAGAAAAACTTGTGGGACAAGCTGAGTCCAGAAGGAAGGCTCTTGGTCAGTTTTAGAATATTTTTTTATAAGAGTTTCTCGGTGATATGGTATAAAGAGAGGAAGTCTTTTTGTTCTATATCCACCTCAGTACCTCATGTTTGGTTCTTAAATCAGAAGACAGGAATGCAAGCAACAGACATCGTGACTTACTGATCAGGCTGGATACCGGAAGTGACTCAAATTGACTATAGATGTAAGGTCTAAAGACTTTTACCTTTTCCCCCTTTGAGATCTATTACTTTAGCGTAATGGTTTATTCAAGGCATTGCTCGACATATCTTGTTATAAGATAGTCAACCATTGGCCAAATAAAGTCGACCCTTTACCTGAATTTATCTATGCCCTTTTCTTTACTCCTACTCTCAGAGGAAAGGCTTCACTGCTTTTGTTACTTTGTTCAACTTCATGGCCACTTCTCTGTCGTGTGTTCATTGTATTTCTAGTAAGGAATGAAATAATAGAGGGCCACACTGCAACACGTTATACTAATCAGGGTTTTCCTGATTTTTGTAGACTTGTTTTGTTCTTTTGAGAACCAAATATGAGAATTCTGTGGGTCAATTGAGAAGGCAAAATATCTGTAAATCTTCAAGTAATAGTCTTCTGTAGATTGACAGATGCCAAGGATGCGTATCTTCACAGCGTCCTACAAGTAATTGAATTCTAGGCTTGCTTTTTGGGGGGATGTTGAAATTCCCACACGTACAAATTTTGAAAGTTTTAACATAGTTTTTTCTTTTCTTTTCTTTTCTTTTTTTTTTGCTAACACGTAGTCATTCAAGTTTAGCGCAGCCATTTGTTGGTTTGAAATATGTTTGAAGATAATGATTATGAATGATACCAAAATTCTACTATATTGACTCGAGCTGGTATTGCTCAAAACTTGTTTATTCATTATAATTTGTGCAAGGTAAGAAAGAGAATGATACCAAAAATCGTACCATATTTTAATTCCGACCAATATTTGTGCCTGAGTTAGGGATCACTCTTTCCCTCTATACATTTTCAATAGTAAAATGCACAATTATCCTTAGACATCGTCTGCAGATTCTATACCTTCTCACCTGTGTAGGCAATCAATCTTTGTGGATTACCAAGACGATTCACTGTCCCTAGAAAGAAGTAGCACCCAAAGGAAGACACCTTATATCATCTAACAGAACTAGCAAAGCATAAGTTAATAAGAATCGATTTGGTGGATAGATATGAAACACTGCATAGACCTTTTCTGTATTGAATGTGAGATCTAATAACTTCTACTTACATTATGATCTTTTATATAGGTCTATGAAGATTCAAATGCCCCTTTCCTGGACCTAGGGAAGGGCTTCTCTTGAACTTTTTCTTGTCCAGCAACTTTTTCTTATCCAACTTTCTATCCCGAATTCCATCATATAACAGTTCATAACTATAGTATGTGATATGGGACTTCTTCATTAGATGCTCCACAACAATTTTAGGTGCAGCTACTTCCTTCTTGTCAGCTTCAAAAATTGAGTTCACTTCTTCCGGAACAATGCCATTCTGCACCATAAGGTTTATAATACCCACTGCCTCACTTAATCTGTGCTTCACACAAAGACAGTTCAGAACCCTTCCACAGGTTGTAAATGATGGAACCAATCCTTTATTGATCTTTTCCAGGAGAAAAGTTTGTGCAGGGTCAATGTTCCCTGTTTTGCAGTATGTATCTATCATGACACGATAGGTGTAACTGTCTGGAGCACAGCCACAGCCACCCATCTTATGAAAGAGCCTCTCTGCCATACTGACATTTAACTTTTCACAAAAGGCATTGATCATAATGTTGAATATAGCCGTTGAATATGAGAATTTGTATTCTTTTTCTATTGTCACAAATAGCTGATAAGCTTTCTCCAGCTCTCCATTACTGCATAACCCACAAATCAAGGTGCAAAGGGTAACAATATCTGGGGTCAAGCCTCTAGTTTTCATCTCCTCAAACCAGTCCATTGCTTCACCAACTTTTCGAGATTTACAAAAACTTTCAATCAATATGTTGTAGGTAATTATGTTCGGTATACACCCCTTCTCGAGCATCGCTTTAAAAGTGTCCACCACATTGTTTAGCTTTTTTGCCTTGCAAAGGCCATTTAAGAGCGTGTTATATGTAATCACATCAGGAGTTATACCATGACTCAACATTGTGTCTAAAGTCTCAATGGCTTTGTCCAAGTTAAGGTGTTTACAGTAACCATCAATCAATGTATTAAAGGTAAATATATCAGGAATACAACCTTTGGCAATTGCATCGTTCAGAAATTCACTGGCATCAGATAGACAACCCATCTTGCACAGCGCATTCACAACTAGATTGTAAGTCCAAATATCAGGGCTACAACCATGCTCCAGCATATCTTTCATCAGCTGCAAGGCCTGCAAAACAAGTCCCTGCTGGGACAACCCTTTTACTAGTGTATTATAGAGAACAATGCTATGCTTAAATCCTTTTTCCATTGCCTCACTAAATACAGCCATGGCTCGGTTCATATCTCCATCATCGCATAATCCATTAATTAAAGAGCTATAGGTGAATTCATCAGGCACGAACCCCTTAAACATTGCATCACGGAGAATTTTATCTGCATTTTGCATCATACCCATCTTGCAAAATCCATCAATAATTGTATTATAGGTAAATTCATTGGGCTCAAACCCATTATTCACCATTTTACGCAAATAACACTCTGCTTCTACTAGCTTCGAATGTTTACAGAAGCCACAAATTAGTGTGTTATACGAAACTACATCGGGAGTTAGACCTTCTGATATGATGCTCTCCAACAATCTAGCAGCCTCATCTATTGCACCTTTTCTACAAAGACCCTGAATGAAGATATTGAATGTGAACAGATTTGGGCACACTCCCCTCTTCAGGACCTTGTTGAAGAGTTTTTCACTTTCTTGAACATTACCCTTCTTACAAAGAACATGGATGAGCTTATTAAATGTTAAAATATCAGGACAAATACCTTGCTGGAGCATTTCGTGGAACAAATGATACGCCTCAATTTGGCAGTTCTCTTCATAATAGCCACCGATCACAGCACAATATGAAACAGCATTGAATTCACATCCCTGGCCAGGCATGTTATTAAGCAGCCTTAGTGCAGCACTCGGCCTACCAGTTCTACAAAAAGACTTTATCCTAATTGTGTGAGTATAAACATCGGGAAGAATTCCAATATCTTTCATCCTCATATACACTTTGTGAGCTTGATTGAAATACCCGTAGTCAACTAAAATGTTCATGATTACATTATATGATTGAACCGATGGCACACAGTCATAAAAATCCATCCTTTCGAACACATTCACAGCTTCTTGAATCTTTCCTTTCCTTCCATAGTCCCTCATAATTCCAATATAAACTCCTTCAAGCATTTTATTGTCGACATTCTTCCTCATTTCAGCAAGCACATCCTCCATGGCTTCAAACTCTCCATGAAGCCCAAGCTTCTCAATCATGCACTTATACGTTGCCAATGTGTGCTTGAAACCATCTTCTGTTTTCACTTGGTTGAACATTTTGAGTGCTTTAAGGGGATCATTTTGATATCTTATTACAGCAGCTACATGTTTTGGCTGCAATGCTCGATTCATTCTCAATAAAGGAATTGAGATATGAACACAAAGCTCTTAAAGATTGTTTTCTCACAAATCTTTAGGAATTCTAAGGGTTGATCATTATGCACAATATAGAGCAGTAACCAACAAACTCCATTAGTTTCTGAAAAAACTATGCAAACTAGGGAAGGAGATGTTGGCGTCGTATCTCTCTGTTTTCATCTTCCTCCGAGATTAATCATTCATAAAGGTCGAAATTGACAAAAGCACCAATAACTTGAGTAGAAGAAAAAAGTTACTTACTTCGAAGCTCCAGTCGAGTTTTTCCAGCAGACGGTGGCCGAAATGAGCATTAGGTTAAATTAATCACAGTTGGGATTTAGGGTTTTAACAGGAGGATGCTGTAAATGAAACTGGAAGTGGAAATGGATGAAAAAGAGGAGGATGAAGCCTGAACTGATCAAGAGGGACGGAACCCACTTTCCTTACACGTGGCAAGATTTTAAAGGCGTGTGTATCAAAATAAATGTGGTGCGCGTAACTCTGGATTACCAATCGTCGTTCTCATCTCATAGTTTCGAGGCTTGTAACTTGGCTGATCAGTCGCTTGGGTTTTCGTCGTAGAGAGAACAATGGCGACGTCAGGACAGTGGCTGGAGAAGGCGTTGGACGATCTCTGCAAGAAGATGGAAACTGGTTGGGGTCTTGATAAGGATATGATTTCGGGATTGGTCTCGTATTGTGAGCTCGCCCAGCCCCAAGACGCTAAGGAGTACCTTGATGTAAGTTTCTTCTCTTGGCTTTCTCTTTTTCAATTATCTGAATGATTGATTTGTTTCTATCAATAAATTTCGCGTCTGGCTTTAGATATTGTCGCTGTATTAGGAGTCTCGCTTCGTCGCCTTGAGAACTTTATGGATTATTATTTCACTGATGCGAAATTGTGACATTTAGATCGGAAAGTGAAATGTTGACGATTGGCCAATTCATCACGATCCATGCTTGGATTCCCAAATGAAGTTTTTCAGCAATCTTTGGCTTTCTATTGAATTTTGTTTGTTTTGATGGAGGAAAACGAATTTAGTATCTTGTTTTTAACAGTGATGATATTAAGAAATATATGTTAGTTCTTGATATTTGAGGATTTGAGGTGTATACTCAGCTCAGTTCGTTCATCATGGTGTGTGAAGATATTAACTTCCACCCCATGTTTTGCTCATGGCTTCTCTTAACATCTCTTTATTTTGTTCCCCAAAATATTTCAAGGTTAAGTAAGGCTGACATAATGTGCGAACGATTTCAGTTTAAGATGCTGCAAGTAATTTCTTTCTTTCTTGCGGAATCAAATTGAAAAATCAACACAGTTCTTATGGATTATTCAATTGAATTACTAGTGAAATGAACCTGACCTTTTAGGTTGATCTCCCTCATTGTATATCTCCTGAAGTTAGGGCAACTTGGAGTCAACTTCTCATCCATGTTTTTAGTCTGAAGTTCAAGTAATGATGGTTGCAATGTGTTTCTCGTCCAGTTTATGCAACTGCTTCTTGAATCTAGGCCCGTATAATCCAAACTTCTTGTCCGTTTAGAAGGTGCAATATTTTGAAACAAAAATATTAGATGCTATAAAATTGAGACTACTTTAAGTCCTTCATTTGTGCAAATTGGGCTGAAGAAAGATCTTTGATGCATGCATGTATTCAAGCTTTTGCTTATATGTAACCTTCTGAGGTGAAACTGGAAGTAAGATCCCTAAGGTCACTACCTTCTGAGCTTGTCTTAAATTTTATTTCCAAAGTCACACACACCCCTTTCAAAAAGAATAACGTTGTTATTAAGTTTCTGTTTCCCCTTTCTTTCTCTCTAACCACTCTTTCATGTAATTATAAATTTGCATGCAAATATCGTATAAACTGTGAACTTATGATTTTGGTAATTGCAAGATGCTTATTTTAGAAAATTCCTCGCTACAAGATTGACTTCTTGCGCTGAGCACTGTTATTTCTTTGTTAAATAAATTAAAACTTTCTTGTAAACATAGGGGTTTTAGTTACTTGTTCCAATCCAAACGTGGGTAAGGGAAAAGGAGAGGTGCAAGTTGGTTATCTGATTGTTGGATCGTATGACTTCTCTTTTAAAATGAATTGGTGTTCAATCCTTGGATTTACTTTTCTGCAGAACATCATAGGTCAGGAAGTTGGGAAAAGTGTGATAGTTGAGTATTTACGCCTGCGAGGCTACTCTGACCCCTGCAGCAAAACATTGGATGTTCCAACCTCAAACTTACACGCCTATGTCAAGCCACCCTCCCATGAAGGTTCTTTTGGCGGATCCAAGAAACCTGTTAAAACACCAAAAACCATTTCTATCTCCAGCAAAGAGATAGAACCGAAGAAGGTCGCAAGCTCTAGTAAGGTGGAAAACCAGGTTTCATCGGACACTCGCAACTCATTGTCTGGTAAAGGGAATCAGGGTACTTCCAAAAAGAAGAAGCCTGCCAAAGCTGTTTCTCTGGCTGAAGCTGCCAAAGGATCATTTGTGTTCCAGCAAGGAAAACCATGTTCATGCCAAGCTCGTCGTCATAGGCTAGTAAGCAATTGTTTATCATGTGGCAAGATTGTATGTGAGCAAGAGGGAGAAGGGCCATGCAGTTTTTGTGGTTCCCTTGTTCTGAGAGAAGGGAGCACGTATGCTGGTATGGATGAAGGTTTTACCCCACTTTCAGATGCTGAAGCAGCAGCTGAAGCTTATGCCAAAAGGTTAGTTGAATATGATAGAAACTCTGCTGCAAGGACATCTGTAATTGATGATCAAAGTGATTATTACCAGATTGAGGGCAACAACTGGTTGTCTAACGAGGTACTGAATTTTGACGAGAAAATTTGACTGGCAAATTATTTTGAAGAGAAAAGAAAATTGACTGGAAAGTTTATCATTATTATTTTGGTTTCAGGAAAAGGAACTTTTGAGAAAGAAACAAGAGGAAATTGAAGAGGCTGAGCGAGCTAAACGAAACAAAGTGGTTGTAACCTTTGACTTGGTTGGCCGCAAGGTAATCATCCTTTATTGTTGACTTGATATTTTCTACCAAATGATTAATTATGTTTTAGTTCTAGCCAACAACATATGGATAGACCACCAACCCTTGCCCTGAAATGTATTATTGGGAAGTTAGCTTCTCCTAGTTCCCACTGCATTTTGTTCTCTCTATCTTGATTTTGGGTTAATGAATTTTGGATTTGACCTTCTGTAGGTTCTTTTGAATGAAGATGATACTTCTGAACTTGAATCGCGCAACAGTATCTTGCGGCCACCAGATGAAAGAGAAGTGAACAGGATTAAACCAAACCCATCTCTTCAAATACATCCCGTCTTCTTAGATCCATGCCCCAGAGAAAAATCCACCAAACCCAGAAACTCAAACAGAACCGTAAGCAATGGCATTTGCCTGGAAATTACTGGAAGAGTGCAGCATGATAGCAACGAATTAAAGAACTTTATGGTGGAGAATGAGTTGGAAACGTCATTCAATAGGAAAGCTTGGCAAGGGCCTTCGGTAAATCACAGGCCGCAATTGCAGGACAATTATGAATGTTCTTTAGATGCTCGTTGAAGCATAAGAGCTTAAACAGACTACTAGACTTGTGTTCAATTATCCTACTACCCTAATCTCAGTATAAAACTTTTCACTACAGAATATTTATCTTGTAATTCTCTTGGCCTCATATTTTGTGCTTTTCCTTCGAGAAAATTACCGTTCTTACCTTTGAGAGTAACACATTTTACTTCCCACCCGACAGCTAAGTGAAAGGAGGAAAACAACATATGTATGATTCACAAATGTCATATATGTCTATTGTTTATGTTTTTTGGATTGTTCATGCATGCATAGATAGATTTTGGAAAGTTTATAATTGAAAACCAACCCTAATTCAACATTATCCCTCAATATCCTTTTCAAGAGTAAAGGTAGTTTGTCAATGGAAATTCTGAAGTTTTATCATACTATCAGTGTGGAGATGGCCGAACTGGTCTAAGGCGCCAGATTAAGATTATGGACCGAAAGGGCGTGGGTTCAAATCTCACTCTCCACATTATTTTTTCTTCATAAGGACCATCTCGTTCATCAGCTGGTTTAAAGGTCTGGAAATTTGCAAGAACAAAATGTGAGCCATAGGGGAAAATTGAATTCTTCTTGCAATCCTTTGAAACTAAAAGAGCGTACCATGTGGCTTTTAAGCATAGAATTGAAGACAACAATGATATGGATGTGCATGCATCACAGTGTTTGTGTTTATAAAAGCTCATCTGAAACAGTTGGGAGAACTTTTATTCAGTTTACAGAACCATATCAACTGCTATAGTTAATGATTATTGGGTGTTGATGAAAGTCAAATCAAGTGCCCCATCTAACTCATCCAAGTAGGTCCCTTCTTCTTTTGGGTATCTATGATCCAATCCTTGGAAGAAGCCTACTTAAGATGGGAACTCCTTTCCAACTTGCCACGCAAATCTGCAGCCTTCTTTGCCTTACTCACTTCCTTTCCTTCTCATCTCTTTACTTCTTGAAAAGCTTGTCTTTGCTTTGAAATCTCCAAAGATACATCCTCAGCACTGCTCTTTGTCCATTCTCTACTTGTTTCTTGTTCGTTTTTACATCTTCCTGTGTTTTGTGTGAACTATGGAAAGTGAGTGCAAAACCCATCTTCCCAAGGTTTTCATCTCTTCATATCTTGAACACCATCAACTTCCTTCTGCTATCACCTCAAACCAAAACCCTTTCTTCTCCAAAAACATGAAGAAGACGACCATCACTGCAGAAGAAGAGATTGGAGTGTTCAGAGCTGAAAGGTACTATGGCATGAAACTGGAAGATGACAGCACAAGAGTTGTTGAGAATTGTGGTAGCAACCAGGCAAAGAAGAAAGAACAACGACCTGATGTGCAGTCTAGGAGACAAAAGAGCAGACCAGGAGCTCCAAGTGTGTCTTCTGAATCAAGTTGGAACAGCCAAGCTACCTTTTCATCTCAGAACACCCAAAATAAGACAAAAGGAAGAAGCCTGCTGGTCAACCTTACCTGCAACAGCTCCTGTTCTGATAAAAAATCTATTCTTGTCCATAGGAATATGTATGACCAAAGAGGATTGCAAGGCAGTGATGTCAGAAAAGAAGCTTCCAGGAATGAACAAATTCCTGTCATCATGGATGCCAGAATCAAGTTTCAAACAGTGAATTTTGTAAAACAAAAACCAAAAAGTTCAATTTCAGGTGGGTCAACTAGAGAAGAAGAGTTTATATTTCCAGTTTCAAGCTCTCAGTTGCAAAACTTTTCAAAGATCAAGGATGAAGATCCTAGAAAA